TACTGGCAAAGAAACAGACCCAAGGATCAGTGGAACAGATTAGAAGATGCAGAAACAACTCCAGACATACTCAGCCACCTCATCTTCAACAAAGGAGCCAAACACCCTCACTGGAGGAAAGATATCCTCTTTAATAAATGGTGTTGGGAAAACTGGATTTCAACTTGCCAAAGATTAAAACTAGACCTCTATCTCTCAGCATGCACTAAACTAAAATCAAAGTGGATTGAAGATCTAAATATTAAAACAGAAACACTAAACTTGGTGGAAGACAAGTTAGGTAGAACTCTTGAAGACACTGGCATAGGAAAACACTATGAACAAAACCTCAGTAGCATGGGAACTAGCACACAGAATCAACAACTGGAATCTCCTCATATTAAAAAGCTTCTGCACTGGGCCATGGTTTCGCAGCCTGCTATGAAAGCACAAGGATCCGAGTTCATTCCCCAGTACCAAAAAAAAAGCTTCTGCACTGCAAGAGAAACCACCAACAGAGCTAAGAGACAACATACAATGTGGGAAAAAATTTTTATCATCTGTTCCTCAAAGGTCTACTATCTAGAATATATAAAGAACTCAAAAAAAAAATCAGACCCCTCCCCCAAATATAAAGACCCAATTCAAAAACGGGCATCTGAAATGAACAGATATTTCTCAGACAAGGAAAAGCAGCAAATAAACATATGAAAAAGTGTTCAATATCACTGGCCATTCGAGAGATGCAAAAGAGAACAACACTGAGATTCCACCTCACCCCAGAACAAATGGCTGCTATCAATAAATCAACCAATAACAAATGCTGGCAGGGGTGTGGGGAAAGAGGAACCCTCCTCCACTGCTGGTGGGAGTGCAGACTGCTGCGACACTATGGAAATAAGTGTGGAGATACCTCAAAGAACTAGGACTGAAAAAGAAAAAAAAAAAAGAACTAGGACTGGAAGTCCCATTTGACCCAGCTATTCCCCTGCTGGGTATCTTCGCCAAAGAATTAAAAGAATCATACCACAGTGATATATGTGCACCCATGTTCAGAGCACAATTCGTGATAGCTAAAACTTGGAAACAGCCCAATTGCCCAACTGGAGGCTGGATAAAGAAGATGTGGTTTTTTTATAAAATGGAGTACTACTGAGCCATGAAGAATGAGAAACTAGAGACATTTATAGCTAACTGGATGCACATTGAGGCCATACTCTTA